TTGGATGTGAGTAGTTGAAAGAACACATCATTCAAGATAACAGACAAGTGGTTTATCCAATTACATACATGGATTTTTTTACTTGGCCCTGCCTTCTGAAAATTATCTGCCATGGAATAGACCCAGACCCTTGTGAGAAGCGCAGCGATCTACAAGGGTCTAGGGAGAGTCGGGTTACTGGTTTCCCCTCCCACTAAACAGATGCACACTTGGTTAAATCCTCCAGCTCCAGGAGTCCTGACCAAGTCGAGCATCAACATCTGGAGATGGATTCCCGGGCGCTGTACTACGGTGACAACTGCGACCTCTGCGACCACTGCTCCTGACGTAAGCCCCTAAGGGCATCAGAATGGGTCAAATGCAGAGGCTGAATTGCCCTAAGGGGATTAATAAAGTGCACCTTTACCATTCTAAAACGTAATAATAAGCAACAGTATTTGATGTCACATCACATTGTAAATGGGTTCAATCTTTGGGTTCAACTGGGGCCCTAGTTGGAATTTATCGGTTGGAGGCTGCTCTTTGTCCCACCTGTGTGTGTGAGTGACAGCGGATCACGCAGAGCAGAGCGTGATCCGAGGGATTATGGTTTTAGCACGTAGCATTAGGTTTCTTGCCACCGATTGCATTTGCATTTTCAAGTTTCTACATGGATTCCATATTCATGTGCGCATAAATCGTTAGGAATTCAAACTAGTAGCGTAATCATCGTCACCGACTATTACATGGTCTGTGACCACGCCCCTGAGATAATTTTAAAACTTTCTAGTGTAGTAAATAATTGTCCAAGTTATTTAACAGCTCTAACAATACAATACAATACAACAAACAAACAAATGATTTAGCAGCTGACACACACACCAGTGTGATGGAACCCCTCTCATCATCACAATTCAAAATGAAGAAAAGAAAGTTACCGTGCCTTGCGAAAGTATTCGGCCCCCTTGAACCTTTCAACATTTCGCCATATTTCAGGCTTCAAACATAACCATATAAAATTTTAATTTTTTGTCATGAATCAACAACAAGTGGGACACAATCGTGAAGTGGAGTGAAATTTGTTGGATAATTGAAACTTTTTTAACAAATAAAAAACTGAAAAGTGGGGCGTGCAATATTATTCGGCCCCTTTACTTTCAATGCAGCAAACTCACTCCAGAAGTTCAGTGAGGATCTTTGAATGATCCAATGTTGTCCTAAATGACTGATGATGATAAATAGAATGCACCTGTGTGTAATCAAGTCTCCGTATGAATGCACCTGCTCTTTGATAGTCTTAGGGTTCTGTTTAAAGCGCAGAGAGAACCATGAAGACAAAAGAACACACCAGGCAGGTCCGAGATATTGTTGTGGAGAAGTTTAAAGCCGGATTTGGATACAAAAAGATTTCCCAAGCTTTAAGCATCTCAAGGAGCACTGTGCAAGCAATTATATTGAAATGGAAGGAGTATCAGACCACTGCAAATCTACCAAGACCCGGCCGTCCCTCCAAACTTTCATCTCAAACAAGGAGAAGACTGATCAGAGATGCAGCCAGGAGGCCCATGATCACTCTGGATGAACTGCAGATACTATCAGATACTAATGATAATAATAATAATAATAATAATAAAGGAAGGTTTCTCACCCATCATCTATACTTCTTAGCAGGTTTTCCCGACGTTTCGTCCTTAATCCAAAGAACTTGTTCAAGGGAATGAAATCCAAGACAGCGCATTGGAGATTTATAACAATAATAATGCATTGGTTTTATATAGCGTTTTTTTGAACACTCAAAGACGCTTTAAATGTGCTTGCCGAGGACACAACGACAGCAGACAGTGGGAGTTGATGGCTCGAACCCACAACCCTCTGGCTCAAAGGCCAATGCTCTACCAACTGAGCTACTGTTGCCCATAACCTATGGTTAGCCACACCCTAAACCTGAGGCTAACTCATTAACACTTGTGTGTTAAGATGTGTATGGAGCAGGTCTAATTATTATCATTATCATTAATATTATTATTATTATTATGGGACAATATTTGACCAGACCCTTTTATACCTAAAAATTCAGATGCATTTATTTATTTTTTCATTTAGGGTATTTTGTTAATCCCTGTGGTGGTTGAATTTGACCCAAGGATAGCCCTGGGTTAAAAAAGTGTTGATGCTCAATCAATTCCTAATGTATTCACAATGACAAGAAAGGACAGGAAAGGCAGGAGGTTTTTATTGAAATTGGATGCAGCCATGTCTTTTACAGAAATGCAAGATAACTTGGCAAGAATTATTCTTATAACATCCACAATTTAAAATCAAGTTATGTCTGTAGCCATCTTCATTCATACAGTATAAGCAAAAAAAGTTCTGGGTAAAGATGATGCAAAGAATGTTAAAAAGGGAATATATCATAAAAATAAACGTTTTGAGGATTGATTCAAAAATAATAATACAATTACTGTGCCTTTACTACATTGTGTGTTTGTTTTAATCATATTAGTGCAATTCTCCAGTGTACTCACAATCACTTTGTGTCTAAAAATGTGGGGCCATTCAAAAGAATGGATGCAGTGGCGGAGCCAGAGGGGTAGCCAGGGTGGCCACTGCCACCTCTAAAAATACCCTTGCCACCCCCAGTGCCCCCCTCGGAAGACGGCAATGTAATAATGTTAATCTTGAGAATCTTCCGCACTTTTTCCGCCAAAAGCTAACAATTCCCACGGTTTCCCCCGTCTGTGAACGCACCCTGACTCCGTGTGGAGCCGGTGCTGTATGCTAATGTTTTGGGTTGTTGGACTCAGGTGTGCCCAAGTCGTGATGAAAACAAAGAGTTAAGTTAGCGATGCAGAGCCAACCGTTTACATTTGACACAAAGTATACTGTAGACACACGTACTGCAGCGCATTACTTTTTCAGTGTGTAGAACTTTTAGTGTGTGTATGTGTGCGTGCGTGCCTGTATGCACGCCTGTGTGCGTGTGTCAGCGTGCTAGTGTGTCTGCGTGTGTGTGCGTGCCTGTGTGTGCCAGTGTGGGTCTGCGTGCCTGTGTGTGCGTGCCTGTGTGCGTGTGTATTTTCCATTATTAATTGCCCATCGTATCATCGCCCTCTTCCCTTTAGTGTAAACATGAAAAGAAAAGGAGGAGACATTGCGTCTTTTTTTGTCAAGAAAAGGCCTGTAGATCAGGATGATGAAACCTGAAGGTCAGACTCGGAGGCAGTATGTTTTGAGATGATGAGGAATTTGTTGTGTTGTATTAAAATATAGCTTATATAATTGAGTTTCAGAGAATGAGAGGGTGTCGCAGACAGGTGCAAGATTGTCTATTGGCAGAAGGCGTTTTTTCACACACAAAAAAAGAAAAAAAATAGCTAAGATTATGGATGATGTGCAGTCGCTTGACCCCAAAACATTTTAGAAAGAAGAGCCCCTGTTTTCATTTGGCAGAACCTTTGAGTCAGATATAGAGGACGTTAAGCATGAAGTACGTCAAACTAGGCAGCTTCTTGGGAGGAAAAAATGGATTAGACTTGGACTGTTGGACTTCCTTGTCTTTTTGGAACGTTTGGAAAGTGTTTCATGAGCTTTTGAGGCTTGCAAAGATCTTTTTAATACCTGTCACTCAGTACTGCGTCTTGTAAAATAAGTTTCTCTGCCCTAAAACTTATTAAAAACCATCTCAGAACTACTATGGCAGATGATTGAGTCATCTTGGTATCCTCAGTGTAGGGTCAAGCAAGGCTCAGGGCTCAATATGAATGAGTTTGTCAACATCTTTGCTGCTTTACACCAGAACCACAGGAATTTGCTAAATTTGTTAAAAGAAAAATGTAATGCAATGTTTGAATTATGTTATTTTGCACTTTTTTGTTCAGACTACTGTTTAAATACACTTTTTTTCTTTGTAGTTTCCAAGTGTGTTCTCAGTTCACTTTATATTAAAAATAATGACAAGATTAAGATTAAAATGTATCGTTTAGCCAGTTTTTGTGTGAAATTAAATTTCGGAATAGTATAAATGTGGACCCCTTAAAAAAACCCTTGCCACCCCCTGGCCACCCTCTGTTTAAAAGTCTGGCTCCGCCACTGAATGGATGAACATTTACAGCACATTGTTCAGGCAATGACGTCAGACAAGCACAACAGTGCCCCATAATGGACAGGAAAAGGGTTGCGTTACAGATTGGCAATGATAATGAATGCATACACATTATTTGATGAAAGGAAAAACAAAATAGATACAATACGTATGCCTGGAAGTTGGAGCAATACAATCATATATTTGTTGAGGCTCTCGAATGCTATCAGAATATGATTATTAATAAAATAAGTTTACCATGGAAAAACACATTTTACAATTGTTACAAAAACAGGATACAGTATAGCAATAAAAAGTGGTTAAGACCAAACCGTGAAGATAACTGTGGAAACTCTGCAAATGGAAATCAAAACCCAGCCATAGATATTATTTGAGCCAAAATAACCAAAAAGATATGAACATTATCCAAAAATTTATATTGCAGTATACTCATTTTTGTTTGCGCCACTCGTGCCTCTGCCCAGTTTCATTTCAATATAGTGTTGCATAATTCATATTTGACCAGGAAGGAAGATCAAGGAAAATCCAAAAGTTCCATTCAAACATTTATTTTCTTGTTACAATAAATGTGCATAAGATCTCTCCCTGCTGTCCCTGTGTCCTAAACCCCAGCGAGCTCTAAGGGTGCTCCTCTTAGTGCTCTCCCTCCCCCACAAATACTGTACGCTGATTTATTGTCTTAAACAGAATATCCAGACACCCTTTTTTGGGGGGCCCACTATGTACTGTAGTATTCTGTCTCTTTCTACAGGTTTTAGCTTCATTGAAAACACAGTTAACATTTAATAATAATCTGATGAACAACAAACAATGTCATTTACGAGGGCACATCACCAGCCACTCGGTCAGACATCACAGACAACCAGCAGACAACCCCAAAAACCAGGAAGTCAATCGCTCTTTGAACAGAGGTAGAGTCATGATGTACGTTTATGATGAAAGCAAGCAGAAAATGGTAAAGTGTCAAGAGCTGACCAAGCCATATATTCCGTCTTGGCCACAATCCTGACATTTTTAGGCTTGTAAAAAAGAGAACAAAGAGATTCCAGAGAATTGTATTGAGATTGGGAAGAAGCACATTATGACCTTCTCCTCACATAACTAAACTTCAATGATTAATTAAAGCAAAACAAATTTACCATCCACTGTAGAGCGAATACATCCTAATATTTCAGGCTGTTTCCATGGTGAAATGAAACCGGCAGATGCATCAAGATAGATTATTGTCCTATTCTTCATGAAACTCATGAGATCAAAGGATGCAGATGATTGTATCAGAAATCTCAAACAAAGTGCAGGAACGTCTGTTGACCATCCAATATGACATCACTCAATAGCTTATATAACGGATATCACAACACCAAAGTATGGTGAAAACTTAATTTACTCGGCTTAGGCCTCGTCCAGACGGAGACGTGTTCAGTTATATTGTTAGGGCTTGGCGATAGGACCCAAAAAAACAGACTAAAACAAAAGTACAAAAAGTGCAAGGTTTATTGCGTAGTTCCAGGGGAGATGAGGAATGGCTGCCACTAGTTCTAGCCCAGGAGCTAAGAACATAGGAGACAAAAGGTGATTATTCAAAAAAGGTAAGCATCAACAGTACCAAAAAGTAGCTGACTGAAAAATCACCGTGATAAAGACGAAACAATCTGGCAGAGTCTGTCTGGAGAGCTGGATGGATGTAGGCTGCTTGATTGAAGAAGTGCAGGTGAGCAGCTCCAGACTCCACCCATGACCACACACACACACACACACACACACACACACACACACACACACACACACACACACACACACACACACACACACACACACACACACACACACACACACACACACACACACACACACAGGGAGGAGCAAGAGGCAGTGAAGACTAGTGACAGAGCGTGACATGTATATCAGCAAAAGCACTCAGTAAAATTCAGCTATCGTCCGCACAGAGCTGGTGAAGTGGCACACTGTAAACAAACATTCGAAACCGCTGTGTATATGTCTCGCTGTTTTTTGTCGACAATGCCGAACTTTTTCAACACAAAGACAACGCTGCTGCAGCTCTGCGGTCATTCTGTGTGCTGTGCTGGCCTGAAATATGATTTTTACTGTACAAACTATGCTTTTGGTTAGTTGTGTGTTAGAATTTGAACATCTCTTCATGGTCAAAGAGTTAAAAACAGACAAAGAGAAATTCACAACAATATCAAGTCGCTCTGACGTTTGGCTGAAGTCACTGCAAGTTGAGCTGTGTTGTCCCAAAAAGGATATAAGTTAAAGATAATGTTTTAAGCCCTCTCTGATGCCTGAAGAAAGTATAGAAGCAAGCTCTGTAGATGATGTAAAGAGGACAGATGGTATGCGCTGTTCGAGGTTTGTCCATGTCCGTTATTACAGACTATACAGACATACAGACTATTCTTCCCAAACCACAAAATCACATTTCTCTGACTCATAATGTACATCTCATTGTCATAATCATAATGGCTCAGATTATTCCAGATTTCTAATCACTGTGTTCATTCAAAATTGCGAAATCTGAAAAAAGCCTCCTCTTGTTTGCACCTACAGCGTTTTTAGGGTTTATGATGAAAGCGTTACGTGCTGTTGTTGTTTTGTTTGATTTTTAAGCAGAAACAAAAAAAATGACTTTATTCCAAATATACACCAATGTTGTGAGTACAGTTTAGTTAAGCCCCGGCGATCCAAGATGGCGCCCTATTCAAATGAATGGTTGTGCTCAGTGGCGCTTTGTGACAGCATGGGGGCTGAAAGATTAGCGGAAGTTGCCTGAAACTCGCAAAGATCTATGGGAAACTCGCCTGTATTTGGACATCGTCCGGTCCTCCCGGTTCTGCGCAGTGGATGATCTCCCATAATGTGTTGCGCCAAACACGCGTGTGTGGGTCTCACACCGGGTCTCACGCACGTGCACAGAGGGGCTCGGCCGCGCTATGACCAATCAGAGCAGTTCATCAGAGCGGGAGTTAGAGCGAGAGCCAGACGAGCAGAGTTTGTGGCACTAAAGTGTGGATTTAAACAAAACCGAAGGATTTAAGATGAAAAAAAGTTCAGGATGACAAGGGACACTAAAATCCCCACAAAATCCGACCTTTATGAAAGCTGTAGGTTCTCTGTCAGCTGAGGTTGAGCTGTTTTAATATGCATTGAGTTCTATGGGGAAAATTTCTGGGTAGCCCACGTAAATTTAGTCTGGTTTAGTCTGCAGTACTGCGAGAATCCCCCGAGCACATGGGTTATTCAGCTACAAGCTAGTAATACCCTATCCAGTTAATATAATAGATCCATGAGTTTAGTCGACTAAAAGGGGGCGCAGAAGACCTCATCTCCATTTGGTTGATTCCAGCCTTGTGGTGTTTTAATGACAGTATACTGGAAGAAGTGCAGGTTAGAGAATATCGACACCAAACAACAGGCAAGTCTGTGGAAGGAAAATGCATAGCCACCAGTAGTTAGGGTGAGGTGCTGCATCTTTTTAGCTACCAAAGTATGAGTGAAGTTGGTCAAAGAATAATTGTTAAATAGGGACAATGTATTCACAATCATGAATAGATAATTGTGGTCTGTTTCTTCTCCGATTCGTAGCAAACGCATGCATTGCTGTAAGTTGGACAAAGAATATGTCCCATCATATTTTGCACTGGGTAGCAAATGTTATAATACGTTTTTCTGTTTAGCTGGACAGTCCTCATGGAGGGACCAGTTCCAGATCAAAGGTTGTCCATCCCCAGACCTCGTCTAACACCACAGTGTGACCTGAGTGTGGCACAGAAATTGATTATTTTGAGCGTTGTGAAGTCAACGTTTCATTAATAATATTCATCACGAATGATTAAGAACATTTACACTTGATTGCATAACTTCTCAAAACAATACCTTTTAAACTAACTGGGTCAAACAAATTCTTTGAAAAAGAATAGTGTTTGTTTCATAATATACACTGAAATAATGAAAAAGGGAAATTGATGTGCGGCATTGCTTTTGTGGAAACTGTTCTCCGTCAGTTCTAACACCACCACATTCTGAAAGGATTTTATAAAACTCTTTAATGTTATATTTTGGGTTTAGTTGAAGAAAATTCATTGTACATGTGAGCATGTGTAATTAATCTAATGGAGATTTCTTTGAGAGTGGTGGTAGTCGAAGGGGCTGATGGCACATATTGATTTCCTTGCTTCTGCCAGTCTGCCCCAGGGCAGCTGTGGCTGCAGTAGCAGTAGTAGTTTATCCCCACTGTGTATGAAGTGAATGAACAATGTCATGTGAAGCATGTTTTTTAGTGTCCTAAAATCTTGATTATCTTGAAATTTTCCTTGGTAGAACTGTGACAAACTAAATAGTGAGGTAGTAGATTACCGATACAACAGCACCAGAGAGGAAAAGGCTACACACTGTTCCTTTAACCACCAAGCCCCTCCTCCGCACAGCCCAGCGCAGCACACAGCCGAGTGGAGCTGGCAGCAGCCTGAGCTCCACAATAAACTCTGGCATCAGCTTCCCTTCATCCGCCAGTCAGTGAGGAGGCACAGAGCGCGCAGGAGAACGCATGGGGACAGAGGGAAAGACCTAACCAGATGGACCTTGGGGGTGACAGGGCAGATAGAGGAGGCTGTCATCCAGTACAATGAATCACATGGCGTTCACTTCCTCATCACTGTCACCTTTCTGCATCTGATGCCTTTTGACGAGGAATGACGACAAGCTCATTTTCCAGCTCGTTTTAACTGAATAAGAGTAACGGATGTAGCATCTCAGCACCCCCCCTGCCAAAACACAATTCTCTCTTAGTCACCTGCAGCCTTCTTCCTCCCAGCTTTTTGTCTATGGAGACTTCAACTGTTCTTCTTCCACTCATCTTCTACTTGTGCACCCTGATGTTGAGCCACAGAGTGAAAGAAGCCAGCTGATAGAAGCGTCTGTCAAGACAGTAAGTAGGGGAGGAAGGGGGGAGAAGTAGGGAGGGCTGGAGGGAGCAAGACTGAGCGTGTGTGTGAGACAAGAGGAAGAGCGAATGAGGCGTACAGAAGATGTTGGTTCGTGTGTGAGCGAGGGACCGCTAAAGAAGCGACATGTTACACGGGGCAGCACTGATCCTATCTGTGGAGATGAGATATAGGCATAGCAACAGCAAAGTAACACAATTGATGTTGAGTTTAAAAGAGGATAAAAATCAACGCAATTACTTCTTGTCAGTCTCATGACTCACTGCTTTTTCTGCGGCCAGGGATGAAAAGAGAGGAGTTGGCAAAATGAAGGACGCATGATGGAATAAGTATTTTTTTTGTCATTTTTGTCGGTGTAGGTGCCATGCGTGATTGGCCTGACCAGTGGCTGTGGCGTCGCCCTGGATTCAATAAGAATTCGTCTCTCTCCACGGCTCATTCAGTAGGACTCCTCAGGAAAGATTTCAGGGGATTTACTTCATGCTACTGGATGGCACAAGGCTTTCATTCACTCCAAAATAAGCTCACAGAGAAATACATTACCTACATGAAAAAAGAAGTAATATAATTACCCAATCACAGCCCAAGGAGGTAAACCGGGTTCCCTTAGCAACAACTGAAGGAGAGAAGAAAATCCTTTTTTCCCTTTGCCCTGTTCCCTTGTTTTTGGGTTATTTTTTGTGGCACACCCCTGTTGCGGGTCAGCAGTCACCCCAGTTTCTACATGAAGACGCTTGTTCCAGCCTCTCTCTCCAGTCTGCAGCAAACTCTATGATATTGTTTTATTCCACTACAAGATCCTCTTACTTGTCAGATTGTGCTGCTTTCTATTAATCCGGAATACATGTCACCTGGAATTAGCACTGCAGCGTGGGACGATTGTGGGAGCTGTCCACCTACTTTTTTTCTTTCATGATCACGAAGTGAAGGACATGATTAAGTCATCAGCTGCAAAGAAACGGTTGAAAGGTAGATAGATAGACTCATTTTTTTCACTCGCATCCTCTAAAGGAGGTATTCAAGAGGAATACCGGTTTTCCACATGGGATTGTCTTTTTTCCTACAAATCATTATTAGCCACACATGAGGGACTTTTCAAGTTCCTTTCGGTTGTCAGTTATAAAAATAAACACATATTTGAGTTGTTGACTGATCGCAAGTATTATATTTTTCTAATTCATTGTAGAATAGGACACTTCATTAAAAACAAAGATGTGATGTACTTTACCAGGGCATCATGTCACAGTGTGTAAAAGGTAAAATAGGACATATTCCCTCCTTTGACATAAGCTATTTTAACTCGGATTCTGGGGCACAGTTTTTAACAGACAGGAGATGAGTCGGCTGAACATCATTATGTAAGAGCACCATATTACTTTGAGCCCATCAAGTTTGCTTCTTGTTTTTCATGGATTTATGATATTCTATTTTCCCTATGCACTTTTTGACCTAATTTTTGAGAGAATAAATCCAAAGACATGGATGTCAGAGTGTGACCAGGTGCCGAGAGTGTGGGCCAGGAAAGGCGTTTGGGCAGCTCAGGTGCTTTTAAGATGTTGAGTTCTCCCTGCGTGGCTGGGGCCCTTGTTCGGATCAGTAGCACTGAGGCTCCCCGTAGCCAAAGACATGGACCCCGACTCGGCTCCCCCACGCCCTCAGCCTGTCGGCCACTGGCCCCACGACACTCTGTGAAGGATGTCCCTCAGCAGAGCTCCGATCCGGGACACCTCTGAGACCCCCAGCCCGAGAGAACGCATCCGCAGCCACATGAAGATGGTGATCAACCAGCTGGACGGCATTCTCAAGGAGCTAAAGGATGTGGCCAAGGAACTCCGGGAGGTGAGCTCTCGAATGGTGTTACATGTGTATTAGCTTTTGGATTTTTGGATTATGTAAACTAGAAATGCAGCCAGCTAGGAACTAAAAGTTTATGTTATAATTAGTTTACATTTGCAATTTTCTATAATTATGTACATAAGTCCAATGGCTTCTTAAACTGCAGGCACTTTATTTATTCAGTGGGAGGTAGAGTTTCTGTGAAACAATATGGAAAAGCCTGAAGGAAAATTGGAGCACAATTGTTGTTATGTAATACTTTTGTTACAGATCAGCTTTCATGAGTATTCTTTGCTACAGTCAAAGAGAAAGCTTGAGTTTGAGGACAGGTAAAGTCTACAACAGGAGAAACATATGGCACTGGCATTCATGGTAGAAAGCGTTCAAATACGCTGCAGCATGACAATGAATAGATAAACACCATTCCGTAAGTGTGTGAAAAAGCATGATCCTTGTAAAGCTCAACTCCCAAATCATTTCCACAAGCAATACACAAAGAAACATTTTCCTCCCACAGGTTTTGATGAGACATGTCCAGCGCAAAGGCAGCCTGTGACAGCTGAGTACCAGATGTTGGCGCATACAAACGACCTCCAGCTTAGGATTTTGAATGGGGATGTAGAAAATGCCATAATTCACTCCATCACCACCACAGTCCCTACTGTTAGGGCAATCCTGCCCTACAGTGTTTCCTACAGAGCACCAGAGACAGCGGCTCCTCATTGGTGAGCGGGAGGAGCAGGGCCCGTGTGTACCAATGATTGATTATTATGGGACAAGCACAAGTGGAATAATACTGGCTGGAGCTATTTATAAACCAAAACACAGCCAGTGCCTCTGCCAGCGCAAACGCATAATACCATTCTTATCCCAGACCCCATTAGAGAGGTCTCTGCGCAGTGGTACAGATATCTCATGTCAAATAAGGAGGGCATCAAGTTATTGAACAACTAGAAATGTGACCTGCCAAGTCCTATGAAGCATCAATATCCAGTCACGAAATACACTGTGAAGTAGCATAATGTGGTAAAGAGCAATTATTGATCTTTTTTAAAAATGGAACTTCAAGTATCTATTCTGATTGAAAATAATATGTCCGGAGACAATATGCCATATTGATCTCAGCAATACTGTAAATACAGTAATTGTGTATACACTTCAATATATTTATAACACAACACAACATGAACTTTGGCAATATGCTTTGAAAACATCACATACTACGTGTTACAGAGTATTTCAAGAAAACCTGTTGGACTGAATACCATTTACCGATTTCTAACATTATTAATTAACAGTTATACGGCCATAACTTTCTGAGTTGTGTTGCTATCAGAATGAGAGACAGACAGACAGAACGATAAACCCTGCTACATCAGTATATTATGTTATTATGTCGATGGAGTTATGCAGAAGCACCCCTCGGAATTTTTTTTAGTAAATTCCACACAAAAAAAGTGATTCCATTTTATTACTCAATAGCCGTCTCAAAATCCTCTCAGTGGATTTACCACACTATGGTTCTCTTCCATGTAGTACAAAAGTGTATTTGTTCAATCATGATTTTATTTTTATTTTCTGATTACCAAAAAACACAACAAACATCAGCATTCAACCATTTCTCAACTGTAGGCTGCACAGATTTTTATTCTAATCTAGTGTCCTATTGCATCACACTTTTGAACATATCATCCAGACTCTCCAGTTATGCCTAAATGGTGTATTGTTTTTCACTCTGCCTGGACGTTAGGCGTTCTAAACCAAAGCAGCTGAATTTAGATCAGGCGGCCTGCAGTCCACTGGTGCCTCCCCACTAAGCGATCCAAACCAGTTTTGACACCTCCATGTTGATGGGAAATGAAAGTCCACCGCCATTGAGCTCAATATTCCACCTAATCAGAACCAAATCTAACAGAGGCCACCCACGGGAGGCCAACATCTAAACTCAAAGCACAATTTTACCCTGTAGAGATTGTATACTATCATTTGGTGAAATTCCCCTGCTGAGCTAACCCTAACCCTGACTGTTTGACAATATGTTTTATCTGATCTAATAAACTTGTCTTCAAATTTTGCCATCAAGATCACAAGCCATCAAGTACAGTATTTTCAAAGTTATGTTTCAAGCTTGAAGACAGAGATGGTTAAATTAAAGATAATGTAATTGCTGCATTCATGCTCAGAACATGCTTTTATCAACAAGAGAGGAAGGGAGAGAACAAGTGACAGTAAACAATGGGTTAAGACTTCAGCAGTATCTAACCTTGAGAGCTGTGAATAGAACAGAACGGCACCAGGCAAAGCATTCCCCTGAGTCTCTTTTACCTAGCAGTGGCGTGCAGATCCAGCTTGTTTAGTATGCAGCAAAAGGATATTGACTAGCCCATCATGCCAGTAAGACCCACTGGATTAGTGAGCCTTTGCTGTGCCTCCCTTCGCGAACTCTGCTCTATAATGCATAGATTGCTGCTTGGGAAAGAATTCAAACATATTCTAGCCTTATAATATTGTTTATTAATGACATTTGCTGCTGAATCACCTAAAACAGATCTAATATCCACGAATTGCCTCTACCCCTTACCTCTTGCATTCTATGTGTTCTACTTTATACTGCTGTTAATAATGATGACAGGGATTTACTAGGTTGTTCAGTCACATATTTGCAGGATGGGTCAAATGTAGTACCCAGAAGCCACTTTTTTCACGTTTCTGATCAATTAGTTTCTTCACAACAGTGTTTTGTCCATAACAAATGATGTGATGACGCCTTTTATTCTCAAATGTTTGTTACACAATCAACAAAAAGAAAAACACACAAGTACAAGCACAAATTGCTGCTTGGTTGTATAAACTTTATGTAATTAAAGTAAAACAGTATTTTCTATTTCTCAAACCGGTCACTAGTTTTTAAGATGCTTGTACTTTTCAGGCTCATCTATGTGTGAATGCCAGGTCACCGTCTGAAATGATAAATTGTGACAGTGACCGGGATTACGTGCAACATCAAGCTTTTACTCATTTCTGCCCGACTTCTGGGGGTCATGATGACTGAGATCATTGCCATCCCAAACATTAGCTGTTTGGAATGGCAAACAGGGCTGGATGGAATGGTTTGCCTACCGTGAAGACAATCCAAGTTGGATGAGGGAATAGATACAGAGGTCATCTAATGTTTGGCTTTGAGTCTGTGGAAAAAAATAGAGAACTATTTTCTGTTTGACTTTTACATTTTGTTGACTACCATCAAGGTTAGATGAGACATATAGGAATAGAAAAGCAAAAAGAAAGTCTTATCTATGGGCCTGCAGACAACAGCTCACATTTTCAGAGCAGGAGAATAGTGTGGACAGTGCCAGAGGAATGAGTGGGGGGGTCAGTAGTTCATTTCATAATCCCATGGTGGCTGCAAGGCATTCTGAGACACATGACAATAAAAAAGAAAAACGGGTCAGGCTATTTAACAACTGTCATTTCACCATCAGACTGGGAGCCTGGTTGCAGCTCCTGTTAATCAAAGTATACTGAAATGTTGAAATGTGGCGTTTACCTTTATTTAAACTTAAACCGCCATTAAAAAAAAAGACTTTTTAACACTTTGTCAAAGCAATACAACTCACCGTGCATGTAGCTTCATGTTGAACTGATTAGAGGCCAAATAATGTATTTACAACAGAAAACACACTGAATCCTGCAAGCAGACGGCATCATGACTAGAGCCCTGCACGGGCCTATTATCTGGGCCCGAGCCCGGCCCTGGCCCGAGGGGGTGGCGCCCCAGCACGGCCCGGCCCGATATGGTTTCTCAATTTTCAGGCCCGAAACCCGCATCAAGCCCGCCTTTTTTTTTTTTTTTGTAACCTCCCATAACAATGTTTTATAGTGCCGCGCACTGATATGAACGCAGACTTAGCTAGAGGGCGGAGTTATACATGGTAGTGATGTGTTGCAATGAGTTCTGTGTGTGTGGAGTGGTGCAGAGTGAACGGCCGCATCTGTATGATACACAGCTGTATGATACACAGCTGTATGATGCCCAGATGCTGCAACACACTTGTAAGTAACGCTATGTGCCGTCAATGACAACACTACACAGAACAACAAACACTACAGCGTGATAGAACACTATATTCAGTGGGTGCGTTCGTAAATGTATTCTGCCGCTCTGAAAATGAAGAGCCCGAGCCCGGCCCGTGTCCGAGGTCATTATGCGGCCATCGGCCCGAAGCCCGGCCCTCGGGCTGTCGGGCCGTCGGGGCCCTCGGGCCAAGGGCTCAAGTGCAGGGCTCTAATCATGACCATAGATAACACATCGGTACACATGTTCATTTACCTTCAAATTCATGTTTGCCATGTCCATTGATCATTTACGCATTGCAAATTTTCTCATCCCTGCATCTAACAAAGTTTAAAGAAAACAGCCATAAATGGTGCAAACTAACTGACAGCGTTATTAACCGTCTCCTTATTGGCAATATTGTTGAGCATCCCACATTTTTAACAATGTTGTACATATTTGACCCACGATATCAGTTGCCTGTGAGAACCTTTGTGTCCCAAAAGAAAATCCAAGAGCTGTACAATAGTGACAAAAAGAAAATAATTAGGAATATCAAAGAGTCCCACGTTGCTATTTATTTATTTTCTTTCATTTATTTTGAGTATTTTTGGGAAATTGAGTTTTTTTTTATCTCTTCCAATTCTAGAACAGTGTTAAATGTTTAAAGAAGTAAAAGTTTACCGGTCTTTCAAACGGCCTATATGCCATTTTTGTTTCGTCTAAAAGATGAAACAAAAACATAAAGAGATGTATTTTAATGACATACCCTATCATTTGACAATTAAATCAAATACATGGGGGCGTGGCAAGGGGCCGTAGGACAGGAAATGATTTTGTTTTATTATTTAGAAAGGGCGATTCGGGAAAACACACATAGGAGCTTTTTGCGGCTTAGATTCACACTTATTTTGAGTAATAACTATTTTCAATGCAGCGTACGCCGTGTAGAGTTTGAATGACTCCAATTTTTTCAACGATGAGGAGGATTAAGCAGCTGTTACAGTGACGACAGTGGAGTTCATCTCTCTGGGATCAAAAGAACCATGTCCAAGATGACAGTTCTAATCAATAAGACAATAATAATAATAATAATTGTCATTTCGGTGATATGTTAATCTGTATATAATAAAAGATCATAAGCTGTGCAGCGTTAAGCCAACAGCAGGGGGCTTCAACAAACGCAGCCAGCCTTGGGGCACAAAGCTCGGATATAACTGAAGACATGACCCTGGTCCTCACAGTCCCAGACCCAGAACAATCACAGAATGGTTAGACTATATGTGAGAAGAGCCAATGTCGGCTCTTATATCATTGTGAAGCAGAATTCACCAAGTGTTGGATTGTTCACCCACTGATAGGGAACGTAGGCTGGGTTTAGACCGTCGTGAGACAGGTTAGTTTTACCCTACTGATGATGTGTTGTTTCAACAGTAATTGGTAGCTTTTAGCCTGTTTTAAGTTTTTTTTTCATAAGAACACCCTGGTTTGAGACGACTTTGGCATTGAAAAATGTATTTAACAGTTCTCTCTCCCTGTTGCCTCGGTTAATACAACCGCATACCACAAGTGATGGGCTTGGCGGGCTCCCCGCTTAGCAAAGTTGTTTGCAAACTCCAGAAAGAGAAGGTGGAATCAAACCCAGGACCCCCCTGGAATGTAGCACATGCGCTAACCGCGGCAGCACCATGCCCTTTAAGTCCTCCG